TTTTTTATAGCAATTTTCACTCGGCCGTCAGAGCTTTGGCTTAGACGGGGGAAAACCCAGGCCAAACGATCGTACGACTTTATTGGCCAGCTACCCGCTGCGCGCTAATATATAACTATCGTTTATCGCTTTTTATTTGCATTATTTATGCAAAAGAGAAAGATAAGTGCGTGTACACTCACACACAGAAAGACACACACACACACACACACACACACAAAAGCATATGTCTGTATAAAAATATCGAAAATAAAATAAAATATATAAATATATATTTGAAAGAAAAGGTTGAATAGATTTTATATTTTTATTCACAAAATGTCTCTAATAAGACTTGTCATTCTACTTATGTTTAATTATTAAATATATACATTAAAAAAAAAAAAAAAAACAATTAAGTAAAAATATTACTAAAAATATTAAATTGATTTACCCTATAAAAATTACTAAATATATATACTCAACAAAATATATTTAAATTTATACAACTAAATTCATTTAGTCCAGCATAATTATTTTTATAAATTTCACAATTTATTATTATTTTCTTTGAATATATTTATGTATGTATTTTGGTTCTTACAACAGCTCAGAAAGTCGTAAAAATAATATACATATGTATATCAAAGTTGACTTTTTAAACATTTTCATACTTTTTCTATCACAAATTTTACGATTACAACATGAGAGATTGTCGAGCTCAGCTGTGTGATAGTAATGTCAATGCTATAAACATAAATTATTGTATAAATATACAGATTTAAAAAAATATAAATTAAAAATGTTCTATTCCATTTTTAAATAGCTAAAGTCTTATCAATTATATTTTTACGGAAATCAACATAAAAATTATATTTATTCTCTCTCACTCTGACCTAGAGGCTTCGCTTTTCGTTTCGTTTTCTGTGGAGCTCCCCGATCTGACTTATTCGTGCGATGGTCTTTAAACGGGAAGAGATCCATTGCATAGAGAGCCAAGAAGGTGAAGAGTAATAATGAGAAGGCTTCTGTCTATGAATAAATGTTGCGATATTTGTTTAGCCCTTCCGTAAAAGATGATCTTGGTTGTCTAATACCCCTTCATATGCCGTTACCACAAACTTTCCTGGAAACTTAAACGGCTTTTTAGCAATTTGAGGCCATATTTGTTAATCATAGAAATTCGGTTCTTAAAAATGGGAAATATTTTTTTTTGATTTTGATAAAGTTGGATCATGTTTCAAATTTTAAAATTGATAACAGATAAAGAAAAGCTGCTGAACGTATATGGCAATATTTGTCAGAATGTAATACTATCCCAAATAAAATATAACATATAAAGAATATACAAAAAAGAAAATGCAGACTACGCATTTTATTTTGATATTTATTCAACGCACATTCTGAATACACGCTGTTTATATTACTTTATTATATTTGTTTTTGAAATGCTTTTTAAAATGCAGTCTCTATGCCTAAGCTGAAAGAAAACAAATAAGATTAAAGATCTTGCATATTTTTGTGTGGCACTCGCGGCGAATGAGCGCTGCTGTCATTGGCATTGAAAACTATTCAAAAAATGCTCGAAAATATATCAGCGTAGCATCTTTTTGTTTTGGTTTCTCGTGCTGGCTTCGCTTTTCATTGGAAATAAAATGAGAAGAGAGAAAAGGAAAAGAGAAAAAAACGCGATCGATCAACATGCAGCGCGGGTCTCGCTTAGATTTCAACACAATGGATCGTCAGAGGTTTCGATTTCAAAGACTGAACGCAGGCACGTAGCTGGTTTCGAGTTGGGGGGATCTCTGTGACGTTGATGCGCACCTTTGATAAGGATGTGGCCGCCGCATAGCACACACCACGACAAAAAAAAAAAAAAACACCTAAAAAACAAACTGAAAACTAAATAATTCCCAGCTGAGAGCAGACGAGAAGGAAGCGCGACTGACACGGCTAATCCTGATGAATAGTTATGGGAGTTGGATCTGTTTGTGAATGAACTGCAAGTGAAATACAATTACTTGTGGTTGATAATAACTACATATATATATATATATATATTAGAGAACACTTGGTTCTTTGTCAATATAACAATTATTGAATTTTGATAACGATCCAAAGGGTAATTAAGACTCAATTAATCCTCCTTATAAGTGACGTCTGCGCTTGGGTACGTTGTGTAGCGGAGGTAACTCTGTGGCGTTGCTTTCAACCAGGGCAATCAGTTCGTTATGATTGGGCAATTGCGAAGGTACACATCCAGACAAATTTGAGGTCTCAGATTTGTCGTATCCTTCTTTGCTCATATCTGTATTGCTGTATCGGCGTTTGCCCAATTTTGAACGGGGTATTTCTATTTGTGGCGGATCTATGTCCATAGCAATTGGCGTCGATATCGGACGAGTGCATTTGCGTATCGATTTCTTCAAGCGTTTGGTTAGCGGCTTGGAGATCTTTTTGGGTTTTTTCGGCTTCTTGACGCCCTTCACATTGGGCACTTTCCGTTTTCTAACAAGCGTGCGAGGACGGGCAGGGCCCCGGCTCTTTTTTGGCTTGCTTATCGAACCTACGTCTTCAAGCGGCGTCGATGGTATCTGGCTCTCATGGCTGCTTTGATGCGGCAAGTCAAGATTACTCTTCGACTCCATTAGTCTCGTCAGGGAGAGGCGAGTAAAGCTCGAGTTGACGGCGATTTCGCGGTACCTATTCTTCTGTTCTTCGGTTAGCATGCCCCACAGCCGTGTGGCGGCCCTGCGCATCGAGGCCGACTCCTTTAAGGTCATATGATCGACGCCCTTCTCATCCATTGCAATCAAACGCACCTCGTTCAGGAAATTCTGAAATGGAATCGGCGAGGCCATGTTGAGAATCTTACGCTCCCGATCCTGTGCTAAAGTCCTTGTGGAGAAGGTCACATGCAGCCTCTTGCCCTTGTAACATTTTTTTATGGCACGCAATATCCACGACATTTTATTGCCAAAGAATTTACAAACTTTTTGTTGCCACACAAAAAAATCGAAAAAATTATTGTCAAGAATTAAAAAAAAAAAATATGTCTAACGAACTAACTAACTAACTTTGTAAATATGGAATGGGTCTAACATTTTGTATGAAGATACGCCACGACCTGGATATCAAAGGTTGCTGTGCTCGTCGAACAAAACAAATGAAACACTAAGCCCCAAGATACACTGAGTGCTAAACTAATTAAGACAATGAAAGTGTTAAGACGCCTTCTTGGAAATTGACACTTCGACAATGGCAGGAAAAGCTCCGGGTCGTAAAACTCGCCAGATAAGCGACGCGCTCTGATAAGAGCAAATGATTTAAGACGACGATAAACTCTCGGATGCTGCAACAAGAGCCGCAACAGTTGCCTTGCGGCCAGCTGTGTGCCCCATAAAACGCAGGTCGCTAACAATGTTGGCTGAGTCGAGTCGAGTCGCTCCATGTTGCTTTATCGCCGCTTGTTAACATTGGAAAGTGTGTAAATTTACACACAGAACGAAACACCGCAGGTGGGAAGATTTTTCTCCATTTCGGTTTTACTTTCAATGATGAAAAAGTTCTTTCAACCGTCGACGCTTCAAATGTTGCGAAGAGCGCGCCGTCGCTCACTGGTTCCACAGCCAACAAGTTCGCTCATCGAAACGGTTAAGCGCTGTTCGCTCTGTTAATGTTATGTTGAACTTATTTATACGGGCTGGGATTAAGTTAAATGAATTTTTATTTTTGTATAAACTCTGAATTTCTATATATGTAAGTTGACTAAGTGCAGAGTGAAGCTGTGCAGTTCTTCTAGATAAACTGCTCAGATGACATTTAACACTCTTAAAGGAAGACCTATTACGTTTGTTGTACACAGCCAGCCTATGAGAAGCGTAATCAGCGTAATCAGAAAAATATATAGCAAATATTGTAGATATATGCATATGTATGCATATTTCCATTTTCATGAATTTCAATCCCTAATCAAATTCCCGTTAGTCATAAAGAGAGTAAACAGCTTACAGCATAACGCACCACTGTTAACTTTAGCAGAGGTTGCATTTACAGCGAGTGGAACATGTTCGAAGGCAACACGAAACGATCGTGGTGGCGTTGCCGATTGGTTGCAACCGTTAGTCGGCAACCGCTTGCCAAACTGGTCAGACGTGCAGACGGGTCGAGCGAGAGATTAGTTATTGTCGCTGATTCAAACGGGCCCACGATTTATGAATGAGCGGCGCGCAGCGTGAGACAGACAGATTCATACACAAACGCAGAGAGGCCGTGGACAAGAACGTGAACGAAATTACAAAACAAACCGAAGAGAATACGATAAACAAGAAACACACGAAACGATAGCGCAGCGTAAAAGTTTATTAAGAAAGAAAACGTTTGTTTTGCTGCAGCAACAACAACAACAACAACAACCAAATCGCTTTTAGTATAAACAAAAAGAAACGAGCGCGGAAATTGCAGTTGCAAACAAAACAAACGCTTCGATTGTCAAGACGCGGCGAAGTCGGGTACTATTTTTTTTCGGCTTGAATTTCGCACTGGCCAGCCCCGCCCCGACCCGCCAAACCGCCCCAGCCCCCTTCATGAAAACCAGCTGCATACACACCTACATACATATTCACACAAACGTATAAAAAACAAGCGAGGAAAAATTACAGTAAAATATAAAGCTAAATAGTGCGTAAAAATCTGTTTTCTGAGCTATTCGGTTCGTTTCGGTTCCGTTGCAAGTGTGTGAGTGTGTGTGCGCGAAAGAGCGAGAAAGAGCAGTGCGAGAGCAGCGTTTGTTTTTGTTTTAGATTACAAAATTCTCGCATAAGCCCCCCCAAATGAAAATAAAAACATGTTGAAATTGTAATCGAAATCGAAATCGAAATTGTTATGTCGAAAACGAGCGCAAAACAACAAAGTAATTGTGCGTAGTGTGAAAAGTGTTTGAAATTGAATTGGAGAAATTGAAGGAGTAAAATTAATTGAAATTGCAAAAATCATTCTAGATTTGTGAGATAAATATACAAAATTAAGAGAAAAGAGTATTTGTATTTGTGCGCGCGTGTGTGTAAGTGTGTGTGAAAAGCAGAAAAGCGAAAAGCCATCGTCTTCTCTCTTGCTAACTGTGCTTTTTCCCCCATCTCTCTTGCACCGAAGCAGCTGCAAGCGCGTCTAAAAGGTACGTGTAAAAGTTAGTTTAGGCCTATGGGCCTTATCATTGGCGGCGGGCAAACATTAGCTTATCTCTGTGCAGCAGCGACAGCGGCAGCAGCAGCAGCAGAGTCACAAACAACAACAACAAAAGCAGCAGCAGCAGCAGCTGAAGATGGCAAAGTTAATGCAAGCGACATTTCCTAGAACAGAGAACATGTTAGAAGACATTTAGTTGCTGTCGCTATGTTTGCAGTTACTTTCACTCCAAAAATAAAAATTAACAACCAAACGAAATAAATAAATAACAAGCGAGAGTGCTGCGATAGCGACGTGTCTGACTGCAAGATACTCTCTATTTGTAAAGGCTTTAGAATTTATTGCAGATAAAATTGTATAGTATTTATATATCCCTAATAATATTATGTATTATGAAATCATATATAGAAATTAAATAGTAGTGAGAGAGTAATAAAATATTTATTCATTTTTATTATTTTTAATCTATGCTTCCTTCAAATTGTACTTGGCAATTCGTCTAATCTATAACAGAACTATATATACATACATACATTCATTCATGGCGAGCTGTAGATATGTATGTTTATCTAATCAGCTCTTGACGTGGAATTCAAATATGTTTAATATTTATGGCATATATGCACTCTATTTTCGTTTCGTTAATTTTGATAGATTTGCAAAATACTTGGGCTTTACTTATATTCAGGCAATGTGCTAGAAATTACTCAGTTCTTATCTTTGTTTACTATCTGAAATATGATTTTACTCTGTGCAATATGTATTAGAAATAAGTATGTTTCTTCTTATCATTGTTTTCGATCTTTGTATCTATGCATACCCTCATTTTCAATGACCATAGGGTATAAAAAAAACAGACTCTACTCAAACCGGCATATGCCACACACACACACACACACCACTATCGCAGTTGGCTGTGCCTCTGCCTCGGCTTGCGTCTGGGTTTTGGGCTTGTGGTTGTCTCTCCTTTTTAGTCTCGGCTAGGCCGCTTTATCTTGTCAGCTCGCTGAGTGGCGGTGGCTCGTCGACTCCAAAATGATATAGTGATAACCTATATATTATATGCAGTACACACATGTGTTAAACAGCTAGTTAGTCGCATGCATTATCTATCTACTACTTCAGTCTGCTGGTTTCATCAGAGCGATCCGAATCGGCACTTGAGACAGCTAACTGAGACTTTATCTGACAGCGATTCTTGTGCTATGGATGGGGACAGTTTCGGCATCTCACATCACAGTCACATAAATCACTGCGTTTTGATCTTTCAGGTACGGTGAAGACTCGCTAGCGCGTATAGCGTGCGCCCCGCAAGAATACATCAAGATTCTGCTCAAGTATTCAATGAAAAGATTTTCTAGAGAACTTTCAAAGATTTCGAGCGTCTGCTGTAGTTATGCACATAGAATTATAATATCGAGATAAGGGTTTATTATTTTGTTTATTTTCTCAACTTTATAATTGAGTTGTGGTCGCTGCTTGGAGCTCTGCGATGTTTTCTGCTTTGTTGATGATACAATGAACACAATACATTAATGAGCAGCGGTTCTCTGATTTGCATCGATACATTTCCGGTATTATTGTATTATGCATGCGTCATCCCCTTTTTGTAAAGCGCAAGGGAGTTCAGTTCGATTTCTTTATTCGATTTGTAGCCATAGAATACAATTTATATATGTATTTGGAGTGGCTAGCGCATTACATACACCACCGTCATATAAACTGGTTTTGTTTTTTTTACCTTTTTGTTTATATTCCACATATGCTTATATATCTCCACTTGTGTGTATGTGTATTTGTGTATATAATGCTATAAAGAAACACTTGTGCGTGCGAGCTGTTTAATTTAACGGCAAACTCGGGGTAAATAAAACTGAAACAACATGGTTTGCGCTCATATTACTATTTGCCCCGATTCCGAAAAATGAGACACAGCTGATAAGAGCGCACCTGAAGTAGAGCCCAAGTGCTATTAGCGGAATCCCTGAGGCAGCTTTTGTTCAATTTCGTTTACTTATTGGGTTTAATTTGTGAAACTCTAGAATTTGTAAAATTATTATTAAATATTTGTATTTATTGTATTTATTTATTTGTTTATTGTTTTTTTCATTTTAGACACATAAATCAAAGACTTGACAAAATGTCTATAATATATTTCACCACTCATATTTCTGATATACATTTATTGAGAATTTATCTGCAATTGCTATAGATTTTCTTAACATCTTCAAAAATGTTTTTTATCGAGTTACAAAACAATACATATTGCCATTTGTTTGTTTATTTATTTATTTATTTATTTTTTTTTTATTTCTATAAGAAGTTAAAAAATCGAAGATCTTGTTAAATATATCTAATCAGTTACTTCTCTTTTATCCCACTTAATTTTCCAATTAAGAGAAATGCAAAATTGAGAAAGATATTGAGAATTTAACTGGAATTGCTACAGATGTTTTATCAAATCGCTTTCTTTCGATCTGTCTGCTGTGGAGCTCCCCTAAGTCTGCATGAGCCAGCCATATATCATGGGCAGGTTCATCAATTTCGTCTGTGATAAATGTCGTACAAGAATTTACATAAATACCCTACACAGCTGCCAGAACAAGTTGAGTTGACAAAATGATTTGTATGCCATAGTCAAAGTCGTTGTCGACGTCGTTGCTTGTTCTCAGTGTTGCTTGTTGCTGCTCTTGTTGTGATCGACATCAACGAGAGAGAGAGAGAGAGAGAGGCGACACTGAGCGCCACCCTGAACTTACAACCTAAACAAGCAGCATAGCTACACAGAAGGAGATGGATGCAACAATATTCTAACCAAAAACAGCAACTAATTCCAAACAATGTAAAGTATTATTTATTTTTAACTGAGGTCATCGCCGACGTCGTCGTCGCCGTCGACTATTACAGCGCTGCCTCCAGTGAGCGAACGAACGAATAATGTTCGCCTCTGCGCTCTTCTCCGCTTCGAGATTCGTGTGTTGTTCTTATTTCGAGTTAATGTGCTCGTGTTGTTGTTTCTGTTGCTGCTATTGTTGTTGTTGTTGTTGCTGTTTTTCAGATGTTGAACTCGAACTCTCACCAAATTATGCCACACAACGTTGCCTGCCCTGAGCGCTGAGCGCAGAGCACTGAGCACTGAGAACACAACAGATCCCAGACCCGAGACCCGAGACCCAATGCTTAGTGCTATAGCCGATTGCCATAGCCAGAGCTATAGCTATTGCTAGTGCCCGGTGGCGTTGTGTGGAGCTCTGGCCGGGGCCAACAAACATTATTTGAAATATTTATGCTTGACTTTTGCGCCTCAATGACTTTTGAATTGCCTTGCCTTTGGCTGCCAGTTTTAACACACACACACACACACACACACACATACCCAGGCACACATGTGTGTGTGTGTCTGTGTGTTGGTTCTGATGCGTTGCTCATATGTAGTTTTGTGTTTTCTTAATATTTTTTATGCTCCAGGGCGCAGGCCTAGGCCTAGGCACATATGTTGCCTCAAATTGCAAGCAGATGCATTTGTGCAGCGGGATTTTCTCCAAATAACACCCGTTGAGTGTTGAAACTTTGTCAACATCTGGTTAGAAATTACTCAAGAATGTACTTTAAAATGATGAAAGATGACACTTGAATCAAATATATAATATAATACAATACAAAAAATATTTATTTAGGAAACATTTATTAAAAGGGCAAAAAAAACCTGTGTTTACTTCAAAAGCTTGCTAGACAAAAGAATATTTAATTAATGTTTATATGAGAACTTGTATATATGAAGGTAAAACCACTTTTTGTTATTGTGTAAAGCTAACCTGGAACCCGAGTTGATTTTGATTACAAGTTTATATATAAACATTAGTAAAATCTATAATACTATATTTTATATGGTTGTATTTTTTATTTACAGTTTTTGAATCGATACTACAAATATTGAATTTCTTCTTTAAATTTCTACAAAAATTATAAATAATTGTTTTTTATCTATTTGTATTTCTTCTTTAAATTCCTTCTAAAATTATAAATAATTGTTTTATATATCTATAGTTTTACATAAATTATAAATTTGCATAATAGACTAAACAAATTTGCTTTAATTCAATACTACAAATTAATTTTTATATCAAATCTACACTAAAAATAATTCGCTTGTGTGTTCAATTTATATTAAAATCATAAAATTGTTGCTTAGAAAAGATTTAATAACAATTTAATCAAATAAGAATAAGTTAATAATAACAACTATAGCCATATAAATTATTATTTACTAAAATTTATGATTCATACATTAAATTTAAACTAAAAATAATAAGCTTTTTATTTTCAATTTAAACTAAATCTTTATTAATCATTTTTAGTATTGATTTTAAAGCAAACATAAAATTGATTACCACTAAAACGATAATTTTAGTGTTTTCACTAATATGAATAGTATTTGAAATGAACTCGAAATCTATTTTTCTTTTTATCACCTGTGAGTTGCTCAAAAAGCTGTACATATTTGTTAAACTCTTTACTTTAGAGCTATTTTCCATATGTCGACGTTAGATAAATAGTTTTCAGCTTGGGCAACAAAAAGTCAACAGCTAATGCTAAAAAAAAACCAACTAATTAACATGTGAAAATGATGCAAGCGAAATTTTTTTGAAGCAGTCCAAGCTACACATGTATATACATATGTATGTATGTGTATGAACATATATATGAATCACGGCGGGGGGCTTTCGCTCATAGAAACGAAGCTGAAAACACCCAAACCAATAAACTGAGCGAACTCATTAAACACACATTAGACTGCATTTAATTTGTCAATATTAGCTCGTCTGCGGAGCGAGTCTCGTTTGATGGCTGGGAGAAATGCCCTGATCGGTTCTCAGGCCACACTTTTCTTTTCTTTTAGCCATTGGAAAGTGAGGCGACTAGCATAACAGCAATAGCTCTGCACGACACACGACAGACTGACGGATGGAGGGATGGAGAGACGGACAG